AACACTTTAGGAATGTCATAAAGGAACGGGAGGTATAGGCCTCTATGGACAGATATGTTGTGCAACAGAGGTCCAGTGACTCTCAAGCTGGTCCTAGTGACATTAAAAGAAGGGAAGTAACCTCGGAAAAGGACTTGCCACCTCAAGTCTTAATGGAAGGGGATTCCCCTTCTAAACACTAACACCATCAACACTCTCCCTCCTCCCATCCCATCAATCATCACCAGATCTTCAATAAAGGTAAGTGTCATGTAACTGTGTATGTCTTCTTCAGTTTGTGTGTATTAAAATTAATATTTCATGTGATAAAAATTTTTTTTTGTTCATACTTTGGGGTGTCAGGAATGGATTAATTTGATTTCCATTATTTCTTATGGGGAAAATTAATTCGCCTAACGATAATTTCGCCTAATGTTGAGCTCTCAGGAACGGATTAATAGCATTAGGCGAGGGTCCACTGTACTTCAGTATAGCGCTAATATGAACTCTGTGGCTTATTTATCTATCACATTTGATCTAATATGACATAATAACCATAAAATTAGCATAGAAACATAATATATACTCTAGAATGAATAAAATATGTCATTATGTGATGAGTGATGGCGGCCACTCCTGAGGTAAAAATAATTACGTATCGTTCTGACCATAACTTCTCATTATTGCCCTTCTGAGGTCTTATTATAAGAGAAAATGGAGTGTTTGTGAGGCTAACTGCACTAGATCACTAGTTTCACAAGGAAAACACTGACACAAAAACGATTTTCTCGGATTTTTTTTTTTTCCCAAGTCAGGAGACCGGCCAACGTTTTGGGTGAATATCTGGGAAGCAAATCAGCATAAATGCCTCGTGCCTTCTCGCAGAGAAGGCACGTTGCACGAAGTACATACTACGCTTGTACTGCCTAGCTAAGTTGACTACAGCACACTTCGCTCGTGTTTTTCTATGATTTCATGCTTTAATTCAATGGACATCATCATCCTCTTCTTCTCAGCATTGTCCTTTGCACTTACTTTCTTAGGACCCATGGTTAGACAAAAGGAATTTGGCAAAATAACTGTACAAAACGCAAGCACAACACAAGAGAGATGCTTCCACAGCGAGGTAACCATGTGCATTGTTGTGGCATTTGCTGCGCCAACTAGTTTCAGCATATCTGAAGCTTGCTCGTAACTCGGATTTTGGCTTGCAGTTCAAAGTAAAAAATCGACCGAACGATGGCTCGTAACTCGGAAAACTCGTAAGTTGGGGCACTTGTAAGTCAATGTACCACTGTATATACTGTATATTTGCACACTTACTGAGGTTTTAATACTCGGTGCTATGTCTTTTATGCTTCATCACATCCCTCAGCCATGTAGGAAGACTCTCACATAAATTCTTGAAGGTTTGGGGAGGTATATTATTCCATGCCCCACGTAGAGCAGCCTCCAGCCATGGGATGAAACTGATATCCTTGCCCAGTAAACTTTGTTTCACTATTGACCAGAGGTTCTCAATAGGGGTTTAGGTCTGGGGAATTGCCTGGCCAGTCATTAAAGAACCTCACTTCACAGTCCTTAAGCCACTGAACTACAGATTTGGTGGTATGACACAGTGTACTGTCCTGCATAAAAACCGTAGCCCCACACTTGTCAAGCACTTCGGGTAAATTGTCGCAAAATAACTTCAGGTAATTATACTGGCTCATATACTGGCTTTTGGGAAGCACAGTGAGTTCACCAACACTGAACACCCCCAAACCATGAGCGAGTCTGGGTGTTTGGTGGTCCCACAGGTGTAGCGTGGGTCTAGCAGGTCACTACCTCTGGGCCAGTACACATGTTCCCCACAGTTACAGGTGATGGTGAAGGTTGTTTCATCACTCCAAAGTACTTCAGACTACTGTTGAGGATTCCAGTGAAGATGTTTCTTTGCATAATCCAGCCTACATTTCTTCTGTGGCTTGGAGAGGATTTGTTTCTTAACCTGGCAGTGACTACTATAGCCCAGTTCTGACACATATCTGTTAACAGTTCTTACAGACACCTCTGGGAGAAGATGTGGGTTCTTTTCTTTCAGTTCTCTAGCAGTTATCTTAGGTGTACTCTCTAACTGATTCTTTAACACAGTTAAGGCACGAACAGATGTCTTCTTCAAGGGGCCAGGCCGAGGTTTGGCAGACAGTAACTCGACACCGCCACCAGTCTTGAAACACTGCACCCAGTTCCTCACTGAACACACACACACACACACACACACACCAACATTCCTCTATTTCTTTCATCTGTTGCCCTGCTTTGTGAAACCCTATGATTTGAACTATAGTTTCAGGTGTTATAGACTTCCTTTTATTCATAATCAAACATGTATAGCCCCAAAACCAAAGGGAACACCATACAAAAGATGGGGTGGATGAGACACAAAAGTGCAACACTTCCTCTCACCACGACAGCCACGTGATCACTGAGGAGTCACTGTAGAGTGTGGCAGCAGGCTGTGATGTCATGGTAATGGCTGCTACCTGGCATAATGCACTGACCAAAAAAGACCCCCTATATGGTAGGCCTTTGATTTTCGTCATGGCATTATGCCGGGTGAGCGTCCCGGCATAGTGCCATGATTAGCACTGTATGTAGTATAGTATGTACAGGTACTTTAATGTCTACTCTGATGGCTTTGCTATTGTAACATAGTGTTGATATTATTGCATCATCCTGCATTTAGAATTATTATTATTAATAATTACCATATTATTATTATTCTCTGTGGGGTAGTGGAGAAGAATCTTTCCTCCATAAGAGGTGACTAAAATGCTGGGAACAAGGGGCTAGTAACCCCTTCTCCTGTATAAATTACTAAATGTAAAACAAAAAAACTTAATATTTTTTTTTTTTTTTTTGGGGGGGGGGTCACCCTGCCTTAGTAGGAGATGGCCAGTGTTAAAAAATTAAATTACTATTATTATCATTATTATTATTATTATTATTATTGACCTTATTGTTAGTGGTGGTGGTATTTCCCAATATAGTAATTCTAATGCTGCATTGAGCTCTTTACTAAGAAAACAGAATATTTTTTAACCCATATCTAACTCTTAATTCTATTGTAGTTCTACACATTTGCTCTCTTTTTATACAGTACCTGAAATTCTATGTTGAAAACAAAAAAATAAAAAGCTTCACTCAAATGCAGTATAGATGCTCATCACTTTATGATGGTTCGATTTACGATATTTCGATTGTATGAAGGTGTGATAGCAATGCACATTCGGAAGTCATCGAACTTTTTTTTTTTTTTTTGTACTGTAGAGTACTGTACATTTGTTGTAGGATAAACCTGTATTCATTTATTTACTTTTCAATACTTGTATTTGTTTATTTAGTTATTCAGTGACAGTAGTTATTTATTTATTTATCATTTCATATTCATATTTGACTTATGATATTTTCAACTTATGATGAGTTCGTCGGAAAGTAACCACATCGTAAGTCGAGGAGCACCTGTTTTTATCTTATGAGAGAGAGTTCACTCATTTTGATCTTAGTGATTGAAATAGAATAAATATAATATGCACATGTTGTTAGGTAAGACACATATGCAACAGTTAGGTATCTTTATTTCGAAATAAAGATACCTAACTGTTGCATATGTGTCTTACCTAACAACCTGTCGGTATTTTATACCATTTTAATGTTCATAATATGCACATGCAGGTGGGCCCCACTTATGCAGCAGGTTAGGTTCTGGTTACAGCCATAATGCAAAAATTGCTGTAAAGGGAACCATAGCCTTTTTTCACTTTCAGATGCATATAAAAACCTGATAACATGTTATACTGTCATAAATTAAGTGAGCAGTAGAGCTAGGCCTAAAAAATGCACATACAGTACACGCATTGCTTACCTTTAAATAGCTTCGTCCTTAGCTTTTAGTGAGTAGTGAATATATTTATGTAGGAAGTCTGAATAAATGAAGAATGGGTATAACTGAAAACTGCTGCATCAGTGAAACACCATAAAGTGAAGTGCTGTAAAGCCGAGCCTTCCTGGACATGTACGGTGGTAGGTAGAAATCAAGGGTTAGTGAGAGAATGGAGTAAGACTACAAAACTAAGGAGATAGAAATGATGAAGAAAACAGCAGTTAAAGTATAGAAAAAAAAAAGAGTACTGTACTATATTAAGCTTTTATTGAAGTGCTTTGTTGTTAGAGAGATCTGTGGTTCAGATTAGATTAGCAAAGATTGTAAAACTTTTGATAAGAAAGTTTATGTGAAGCTGTGTGAATGAAGGAAGGGAGAGAATTGAGGATACCTGTAATGAAAATACTAAAGATAATTATTTTTTAAATACATGTTCTTTTTACAGCATTTTGTTGAAAATTTATCCACTTAGTTGAACAAGATATTGTTGCATGACAAATAAATGTCCCATCTTTGAAGTTCAAATCCTCCATCCTGATGTCAGATCTCAAACTACAGAAAAACTGTGCCTCTAAATTATTGTCTGGCATGTAACGTTATATTTGCTCATTTCAAAAAGTAGGACTGTGTTTCTTGTTATGACATTGACCATCTCTCTTCAAATTTGGCAGTTTTTAAAGTGCAGTTTTGTAACTTCATATAAGTTCAAAACCTGCAGAAGTATTGGCTTTATTTTTAATAAGGTATATTATCTTCTTATTATATTACTTCCCAAATATCATACTCTCAGTAGCTTTATACTTTTTCATTTTTACATAATGTTTTTTTTAACACAGTGGCTGTGTTTTTCATGATTGATAAAATTTTAATTTTAATGTGATAGCTGAAATTCACATTATGCATACACTCCTATGATACCTTGAAGGGGAAGTCACATACAGAATCTTCCTCAGACATCTTGGCTGCCTTTCAAGTCTTGTATTAAAAACTCCCGAAGGGGGCCTGAAACATGTGTCATTTATACAAAAGTTTAATTGGATGGGTTTGTGTTCAGAAAATGGAAGTATTGTATAAGTGGGTGTGATGTTGTTAACAGGTGGTGGAGTGTGTGAGGAGACAAAAATGGCCAGAGGACCACTTAGCTTCATCGAAAATAACTCTTCCTGTGGTAAACTTGTCTCGCTCTTCTCCTGTTTTTATCCTTCCCTTGATGGGCATGTCAAGCTTTGTGAGCCTAGAGTTGTGATGACGTGTATTTTTTTACCCATGGTATAGTTTTGCTTATGTTGTTGCTGTACCTAATTTTTTTTTTAATTTTCATACATGACTGCATGGATCTTGTACAGGGTGTCCAACAAGACTGGACTTGTAGGGACAGATGTACAGTTAACACTTAATTCATTTATTATTCAAAAAGAGCATCATTAGCAGCCATTCACATATTAATTCTTGTACAAATGTTAAATGTTTCTTTGGGAAACACTGATCTGAGATCATGCATTCTGGACTCTCCTTCTGTGCTACAATTCTGAGCCCAGACTTGTTATAGTCTTGGTGCTGTACTGTCCAGACTTGTTAGTCTCGCTACTGTATTGTCCAGACTTGTTAATCTCAGTACTGTACTGTCCAGACTTGTTAAAGTCTTTGAACTTACAAATAGCTAGAGTAGTTTTGGAGATTTTTAAAATTAAGCGCATGTGTAAACATTATACGTAGGGTAAAATAGCGTATGAATGATTTTAGATTAGGAGTTAAATCATCCCTAGGTACAGTAGTTGATATTATTTGATAGATTGTTCGACTCATCAACAACTATATTTCTAAACCAGTACTTTCATATTTTTTTTTTAACACCCTGGCCACCTCCCACTGAGGCAGGGTAACCAAAAACACTCATCATCATTCACACTATCGCTGTCTTGCCAGAGGCGAGCAGATATGGCAGTTTTGATGTCTCTCAAAACAGCAGATATATACACCTCCTTTAGAGTGCAGACACTGCACTTTCTGCATCCAGGACTCGAGTCCGGCTAACTGATTTCCCTGAATCCCTTCACAAAATATTACCTTGGTCACACTCCAACAGCTCGTCAGGTCCCAAAGACTTTGTCTCCACTCCTATCTCAGTTTGAATTTATCCACCTTGAGTCCATTATTTCAAGTTCTTTCTCGGTTTGACATTGTCAGTACCCCAGTCTATATTCCCTTCATTTATACCTGTCTTCCACTTGTTTACCTCAGTTATATCTTTTACCCTCAGTCTGTGTCTTTCAGGAGAGAGAGAGTAAATTCAGTGCTTGCAGTTTATCTTTTAGGAAAGAGTCGTAATACAGTGGATTAATTTTGTCATCCTTCTTTGTATGTTTTCCAATGCATTTATATCCATTCTGTAGCATGGCGAGTAGAATGCACTGCTTAATCCAATGAGGCCTTATCAAGATGTATTTATCTGTAGAATAACCTATGGACCCCTATTCCTTATACTTCTTGATATAAAGCCATACCTCCTCTTCTCTCTTTCTCTTCCCCTCCTTCCTTCTCTTTTTTGTTTTTACACCTCTCCTCCCTCTCTCTGCTTCACCCTTCCTACCTGCCACTCTCTTTACCCTTCTCTCTCTACTCTCTATATATCTTTCCCTCCTTCCTTCCCTTTCTCTTCCCTTCCCCTGCTTTACAGAGCACCTCAACAGATAATGCTAAAAAAAGTTGAGTAAAAATTAGGGACCATAAAAAATTCATTCATTATCCAGCATTTTAGAAAATCTAGTGTGTCCCTCCCCTGCCCCTCTCCCTATCAAATCCAGAAAATGGGTGATTCACTGTGGTTTTTTTTTTACTCTATACATTTGCATTATATTTTTGATGTATTATACATTAATATTTTTTGTTACAGCACTTTTGTTAGTTGAATGATTCCTATTCCTTTGTCATATGTAACTAGAAGTTTCATTTTGATTATTTAATTTGACTGTATTTTGTTTTTGCACCAAAATGTCAGTACTATTATAGGCATGGTCTTTTTGTAGTTACTCTAGGGGTAATAATTAAATACAAAATAAACAAAATACAGTATTGGTTTGTAATAATTTAATTCTTGCCTTGAAAACACTTCAGTTTCTTGAAATAAATATTCATGGTTTTAATAATTTCATATTGCTGCTTTACCCATAATTATCAGATATTTGTAACATTTGCTATTTTTATATGCACTAGTTAAAATTGTGTGCCTTGCTAATTGCTGTATTATGGATAAGTGTAAACATCTTTCTAATCCTGTGCCACCATGTTTGTTGCAGATAATTCATTAAAGCTAGACGACGAGCTCTGGCATGAAGTGAAGCCTGGCCTCTCAAGCTTTGCTGATGATCCTATTGAGGTACACAAGCTTGTGTTGCTGTAAAATTTTGTGGCTATGTAGATCAGGGATGCACAATTATTTAGGTCCTCAAAAATGACTGGAAAATGAGCTATATAGTGTGTAATTTATAAGGTGAGTAAAGTGTGTAATTTATAAAGTGAGTAAGGTCAATGGAAGGTATTCAGTGTCTAGTCAGTGGTAGTTTCAATTTTGCATGGTGCCTGTGGGCTGCAGGTTGTGCACCCCTGCTGTAAACTCACATGTGGTGTACAGTACAGGAAAATATAACAGCACTGTACCATTATTTCCTATGAGTGACCTTGTATGTATGTTTGTTTAATTTTTGTAGTTTGGCTGATGGTTATGCTGTACTTGACCTATGACTAGTTCCATTACGAGACAGGAAGACAGACACACAGGCAGACAGATAGCTAGACAAATAGACAAACAGATAGACAGACAGATAGACATGTTTATATGTAACAGTGAAAACAAACAAGGCCAAGGCAGTGCACAATCAAGTGTCACTCCACTGCTGCACTGTCAGCAGTGGAGTGACATTCCTCTTACACCATGCTTCAAGGAGTTTCATATATACTCCAGCATGTCTAAAACATTGCTGGGACCTATAAACACTTTGTAGTATATATTTCTAGACAATATAGGTAGTAGGTTGGTAGACAGCAACCGCCCAGGGAGGTACTACCGTCCTGCCAAGTGAGTGTAAAACGTAAGCCTGTAATTGTTTTACATGATGGTAGGATTGCTGGTGTTTTTTCTGTCTCATAAACATGCAAGGTTTCAGGTACGTCTTGCTACTTCTGCTTACACTTAGGTCACACTACACATACATGTACAAGCATATGTATACACACCCCTCTGGGTTTTCTTCTATTTTCTTACTAGCTCTTGTTCTTGTTTATTTCCTCTTATCTCCATGGGGAAGTGGAACAGAATTCTTCCTCCGTAAGCTATGCGTGTTGTAAGAGGCGACTAAAATGCCAGGAGCAAGGGGCTAGTAACCCCTTCTCCTGTATATATTACTAAATGTGAAAGGAGAAACTTTTGTTTTTCCTTTTGGGCCACCCCGCCTCGGTGGGATACGGCTGGTGTGTTGAAAGAAAGAAAGATTTCTAGACAATAATAGGTGACCAAGACAGGTGAAAATGTTCACCTGTCAGTGTGTTTGTGACTATTTGAATACCTTATATTAATGTCAGAACAAACATTGCCTATGAAATCACAAGAACTATTACAAATTAAAAATAGAGGCAGGACTCCATGTTGCCATCAGGTGAGCATACAGCACCAACTTCACGGTCTTATATCTCAGCAAGTACTGACCCTAATTTTTTTTTAATATTTTTTTGCCCTCTTTAATTAAAATTTTTTTTGTTTTTTTTTGTCAAAATATTTGGAGCGCTGGGCAAGAGAACATAGATCTACGTTTGGACAGTTAAGGGTTAAAATTGTCTTATAAATTAAGAACTACCATCATGGATGCATTATTTGTTCTTGTAATGTATTTCTTATTATTATTATTATTATTATTATTATTATTATTATTATTATTATTAACACATTGACTGTTTCCCACCAAGGCAGGGTGGCATGAAAAAGAAAAACTCATCATTATTCACTCCATCACTGTCTTTCCAGAGGCGCGCTTACACTACAGTTATTAAACTGCAACATTAACTCCTCTCCTTCAGAGTACAGGCACTGTACTTCCCATCTCTAGGACTCAAGTCCAGCCCACTGGTTTCCTTGAATCCCTTCATAAATGTTACCCTGCTCACACTCCAACAGCACGTCAAGTCATAAAAACCATTTTTCTCCATTTGCTCCTTTCCATTGGTGTTGTTAGGGTTGGTGTCACCTGGGGCAGGAACTTTGGTGTAACCCCCATGAAATCCAAGGGCAAAGGGATGGGGCTGAGTAAACTCCAGTTACATCACTATTGCATGCCTAATGACTAATGTTTAGTAATGAGGACGTTTAACCCCTTGACTGTTGCAACCCCAAATCCTGAGGTGTCTCCTGGTGTTGCAAAATCCCCCCCCCCCCACCCACAAAAAAAATTATATTATCTTATGAAATGATAGAGAATCCTTTCCTGATTGTAATGACACCAAAAGAACGAAATTTGATGGAAAACTGATGGAATTACTCTTCGCGAAGTTGGCAACCTCGGCGATATTTACGAATTGGCGATTTCGCTCACTTTGAGCCCTATTTTTGGCTAATTCCATTGTTCCAGTCAACCAAACTCATAGCTGTTTCTTTAGAACTCCATTTTTGCTATCAATTGAGTACAAGAAACTGCCCATTTACCTATTTCAACTACCCAATAAAGTGGTCAGAAATTTGCAATTTGGCCAATTTCACGAAAATTAAAAAAAAATATGACAATTTCAAAATAAGGCCCAGAATGAACAATGCAGACATTCCTGGCTCTAAAATAACATTTTCTTTGTTCATCAGTTATGTCTCCAGGCCCCTCTGATATTACTGTTGCTTTCTATTTTGAATTTTTATTCAAACAAAAAATAGAAGATTTATTGCTATGCAGACTACTGCAGTATTGTAATAATTGTATAAATAATATCAACCCATTCATGACTGCATATTAGAATGGCTACTTGGACATCTATTGGAAAATGACATCATTTGTGTACTTTTGAAGATCGGCAAAAATCAAACATTTCCCCTATTTTGAGCTCCATTTCAAGGTTCTTTTCATAGTAAAACCAATCAAAATCACCTCTATTTCTGTAATATGTTTTCCATTCTATCAAATGAGACCAAGAAAACGAGAATACAATCATAAATACTATACGAAAATAGACCACAAAGTCGGCATTTTAATTAAAAAAAAAAAGGGTCAGTTTTTTTCTCATTATGCACTGCGTGCTACAGGATTTTTTTTTATATGGTGCACACTGACCACACAGACCCATTCTCCCACATGTGGGCCTACCAGCTTTCTCCTGCTTGATTTGAAGCCGCTAGAATTTATGAGTAGTATATATACGTCAAACACGGTGGCTCATAAGACGTATATATACGACCGAAACAGTCAAAGGGTTAAGGGCTATAAACCGAACAGGAGAATACTTCTCAACTTTATTAATGATAAAATAAATAATCGTAGTAATATTGAGGAAAGAAACTCAGATACCACTTTAAATACAGGCAACAGATCCTACATTTATTCATCTTCAACAATGCAAAATATCCCTAGGTTTTTTCAGTTTGTCAGTGCCCAGAATCTGAGTGTCTTCCAGGTCTTTTTTGTATCTCCTCTTGTTTTGATGAATCTATTAGAGTACAGTGGACCCCCGGTTATCGGCTGTAATTCGTTCCAGAAGGTAGGCCAATAACCGAATTAATATTTCCCATAAGAATTAATGGAAATACAATTAATCTGTTCCAAACAAAAAACTCACAAAAAAATAATTTTTTTAACAATTATGTAAATATTACTTACCTTTATTGAAAGCTAATGCTGGCTTCTGGAAGATAAGGAGGAAGAAAGAGGGAGGAGTTAGCATTTAGAAGGGGAATCCCCCTCCACAAAGACTTTAGGTAGCAAAGCCTTCTCTGGGGTTACTTCCCTTCTCTGTCTTTTATTGCCACTAGGACCAGCTTGAGAGTCACAAAATAACTGTCCAGAGTGCTCTGTTTCTGGCATCTCTAAGATTTCCCTGAAGTGGGACAGGGTTTTGTCACTAAGCATGTTGCAGATATGGCTTGTGTCAGCTTTGTCAGGGTGGTGTTTCTCTACAAAAACTTGCATCCTAGTCCACATTGCACACACATCACACATCTTTAATCTCTGAAGAAGGCACCTCCTTCACTCCCTCTTCCTCCTCCTCTGAAGCAAGTTCCTCAGCTGCAGTCTGTTGCTGTTCGAGATGAAGCTCTTGCAGCTCTCTACCAACTCTTCCACATCATTGCCACTCACCTCCAACCCCAGAGACTTCCCCAGTGCCACAATAGAGTCCACAGGGTCGGCAGGATCAGGGTCAGCCTCAAACTCTTCAAAATCTCTCTCTTGGACACGATCTGGCCACAGTTTTCTCCAAGCAGAGTTCAAAGTCCTGGAAGTCACTCCCTCCCAAGCCTTACCTATAAGGCTTATGCAGTGGAGGATAGTGAAGTGATTCCTCCAGAACACTTAGGGTCAACTGAGTGTCCGAGGTCACTTCAAAGCACTTTTGAAACACTGCTTTTGTGTAGAGTTTTTTGAAGTTAGAAATGACCTGCTGGTCCATGGGCTGGAGGAGAGGAATGGTGTTAGGAGGCAAGAACTTCACTGTGATGAAACTGAAGTCCCTAAACACTTGGTCTTGCAAGTCTGGAGGATGTGCAGGAACATTGTCCAGTACCAGGAGGCGCTTGAGTGGCAATTTCTTTTCCAGGAGGTATTTTTCACACTTGGGCCAAACACATCATTAACCCAATCTTTGAAAATTTGCCTTGTGACCCATGCCTTATGATTAGCTTTCCACATCACACACAATCTATTCTTCATGACATTGTTTTTCTTGAACACTCAGGGATTTTCTGAGTAAAGGCTTCACTTTGAAATCCCCACTAGCATTGCCACACAACAAACGAGTAATCCTGTCTTTCGTAGGCTTGTGTCCTGGCAGTGCCTTTTCCTCCTGGGTAATATAGGTCCTGTTTGGCATTTTCTTCTAAAACAGGCCTGTTTCATCACAATTGAACACTTGTTGGGGTTCGAATCCTTCAGCCTTTACATAGTCCTGGAATTCATGAACATACTTTTCAGCTGCACATTTGTCAGAACTTACAGCCTCACCATGCCTTACAACACTGTGTATGCCACTATGCTTCTTAAATCTATCAAACTATCCTTTGCTGGCCCTAAATTCACAAACTGCAGCACCTGTTTCAGGCATTTTCTTTGCAAGATCCTCATGCAACTGCTTTGCCTTCTCACAAATGATCGACTCCACAACACTGTCTCCCACTAATTCTTTTTCCTTAAT